GGGGGGGGGGGGGGGGGGGGCTCAGCCATGAATTCCTCCCCCTCCGCCCCCGGGGCCCCCCCCGGGCTCTGGCAGGAGGAGAACCAGACCCAAGGTGGGCTCTGGAACGGGAGCCGGGAGCTGGGCTGGGAAGAGCTGGAGAAGATGCTCTTCCTCTTCGCCAAAGAGCCCGTCACCATCAGCCTGACGGCGATGTACCTGGTGTCCTTCGTGGTGGGCTTCGTGGGCAACATCATGTCCATCAGGGTGCTGACTCGGAAGCGCCGGAGTCGGGTGTCCAGCCTGAGTGCCACCCGCAGCCTCCTCATCAACCTGGCGGTGTGCGACCTCATGGTGGTGTGTGTCTGCATGCCCATCACCGTGGGCAACCTCATCTACAAAGCTTGGGTGTACGGGGACTTCCTCTGCCGGGCAGTGCCCTTCATCCAGGCTGTTTCTGTCTCTGCCAGCGTCCTCAGCCTCACCGTCATCAGCGTGAACCGGTACTACAGCGTGCACAACCCGCTCAACGCCCGCTCTTTCTTCACCCAGAAGAGGATCCTCAGCACCATCCTGGTGGTGTGGTTGCTGTCCTCAGGGATATGCATGCCCCTCATCTTCATGAACAAACGGGATGAGTTTGGGGTGGGGGAGGGCTTGCCTCTGGTGTTTTCCATCTGCAGGGAGATTTGGCCCCAGGAGAGACTCAAGCAAGCCTACAACTTTCTGCTCTTCTGTGCTCTCTACTGCCTGCCAGTCCTCTTCAACATGGTCATCTGCTTCCTCACCGTGCGCCGGCTGTGGAGCCGCAGCAGCCAGCTGCAGGAGAGCACTGCCCTGAACAGATCTCTGCCGGCCTCCAGGCTGAAGATCCGCAAGAAGGTAGCGCAGATGGTGGTGGCCCTGGTCCTGCTCTTCGCAATCTCCTGGCTGCCCGTCTACCTGATGGACATCTGGATCGATTTCAACATCCCCGAGTCTTTGCAGGGTGTGACTCCTTCTCCTTGGATCCTGCAGCTCAGACCTTTTGCCCAGTGGCTTGGCCTCACCAATTCCAGCCTCAACCCTATATGCTATTGCTTTGTCGGGAACCTCTACAGGTCAGCCAAGGAAATGAAGAGCAAATACCACCAAAGAATGGTCTCTCTCTTTAACTTCTCCCTGTCCGAAGGGACAACCCGTTCCTCAGTCCCAGAGCTGCTCTCCTACCGGAGTTCAACACAGCCTTCAAAGAAAGGACCCTCCTCCACCCCTGTCACGGGCAGGAGATGTCAGGGAGGCCATGGCCATATGAACAAGTGTGGACGCTTGAACTCCTGCCAGCATCCACCTCTGAACACTGTCTCCAGCGAGAACACTTCCTTGTAATTCCGCTCAGGAAGTGCACCTCATGCCCTCATCTGCATTTAATGACTCTTTAGAGGTCTTTCTCAACCAGATATTTTAATGATGGAAAAAAAACAACCCCAACTTTCTTCTAATCACTCCCACCACCAGTTCAAAAACACAGAGAGGGGGAAAGAAGCAAACAACAAGAGAAAAACCGATGACGTCTTTGAACTCAGATCAAGTTTTAAGACAGGTGATTTTTTCCTGGGGACAAGCAGAGGTGTAACCTGTTGCCCAATCAGCAGCCACAGAATTAGATGGATCAACTTCCCAAGGAGTGAGCTCTCCCTGCACCTCCATCCCTGGATGCAGGGATGCTGCTGGGATACAGCAAGGATTTGACTGCTTCCTGCTGCTCACCCTGTGCTGATAAAGAGCAGCGAGAAGCAGCACCCTCTGCTCCCAACCCGTCGGTTGTAGTAGCAAACAGAGAAGAAATGCTCGAAACAGCACCATAAAAAGCAATCGTAGTGGAGAATTTCACACACTTTACCACTTGAGATTTCGTTGTCTGAGCGGATTGTTGCACTCCTCCACGCAAATAAATTCTTCTGGCGCTGTCTCTTCGCATCGGGAGTACTAGAGCAACCATCACTGCTCCACGTTTGGGGATTCAGAAGGGATAATGCGGCCTCGGAGGTGATTTAGGAAACGCAGATTGGAAAATATTCCTTGGGCATCAGCTCTTTTTCTTACAGCTATGTTCCTGCGGGTGGAGTGGAAAGAACCAGGCATCTATTAACATGATTTGCACTTGAAAAACCAGCCCTTGTTCAGCTGTGCCTGTACCAAACAAAGTCGATGGCATGTGAAAATAAAAATAGAAAATGGTTTATAGCTAATAAAATCAGAATCAACTAATGCAATGCTATTTGTCTGGGAAGGAGAGAATCAAAGTGCTTGCTTCTCCCGAGGATCAGAAGTAGGTTAAAACCTATTTCTTCCATCATCTCCTTTAAAGGAGGCTTTGATAAATAAATGCTATCTTTTTATTATGTTAGCATCGAAAGGCCCCACTAAAGCTTCAGGATTGTGTTGGGCTGAGCGCTGGATCTGTATCCCTAAAGAAGGGAAACCTTTCTCCCAAAGGTTGAAGAGAAAACACATGGGACCAGGCAACAGGTGGGAGAAAGAAAAATACGACAAAGACCCAAAAGGCTGGAATGAAACTCGAGCTCAGCCCTTGCCCTGTGCCAGGCATGAGGGGAGGCACATCACCTCCCCGTGCCAGAGGAGCCCATGCCCAGCACAGGAGGACTCTCCTCTCGAGCCCTGGAACCAAAGCAGCAGCCTTCCCGGGAGAGGATTTTGTGTTTAATGGAACTCAGGCTTTTGATGACTGGAGGGGGGGGGGCTTTTTTTCATTACTGAACAAGGGAACGGTGTTCTGGGAAATCTAAGTTTCAAATAATACCCTCCTGCTTTCTAGGGAGCCTTTTTGCTCACCAAAAAAATACAGATGAAAAATAGCCGTTCCACCCAACAGGATTCCCACCTTTGTAATGATGGCACAATAACATTTTATGTTGCTAATGATCTGCCTGGAAAACAAAAGATTCCTCCTTAACAGGCAACGTCAGTCGCAATTTGTATTCTCTTTTTGTGTGAACGAGAAAGAAATTACAACTGCCCAGATTTACTTTGGGTGAGAAATGGCTTTTATGTGTGCTGGGAGATGAGAACATCTGCATTTTTGCAGGTGATATAGGAGTGCACTGCTTGATCTTTTAGTAGCTGTGGAGAAACGCCTGTGAAGATTTTATTTCCTTTTTCAAGGCATATTTTTAGGGCTGGCAAAATGTACCAGGCTGAGGAGCATTAAAAGCTTGCTCCGAATGCCCACTGATTCCAGGTCCTGGAAACAGATGTCCTCCACCCCCAGAGCAGACGTGACACAATACTGAAACTTCCCTACATCGCCCTGACCAACGTATTTAATCCTGCCCTGAATAAAGCGCAGCGGAAGGACCGTGGAGGTGCCAGACCAGCTCTGTCCCATGTGGTGGCCAGGCTCAGAAAATGGCCAGGATCCAGTGATGCAATCAAAGGTGCAAGAAATCCACTTTTTAAAATACCCCAGAGGAGAATTTTATTTTTTTTTTTCCCCCAGTTCCTGAGCCTGGGTCCTACCCTGAACATCTCTGTACCCTCCATGGAGGCAGAAATCCCAGGGGCTGCGTGTCCTCCTCAACGTGCCTGTGCCTTCCCCTCCTAATGCAGATGCCCATGCCTTTCTCCAAGCCCCACAGAGCTCCTGACCACCAAGACAACACTGTGGCAAGGTCATCTCCTCCTCACACTTTTAAATGTATTTTCCAGTTTCATTCCGTGTTCCTGTTTTCCTAGAATAAAGTCGAATTGCTCACTTTAGCTCCTCTTTTGGCCTCCCTGGGTCTCCCTCTCCCCCTTCCCCAGGCTCCAACCGCGTCTCCATCGTTTCTATAGCACAATCTCCTCCTGCCCCTCGCCCTTATCGCTCCTCGCCCGTGAATTCCCCTCACTCTAACGACTCATTCATGTCTTCCCTCCGCTGACAAACCCTCCCCGCCTGCCCCGCTGCTCTGAATGGCTCCTTTTGTGCCGCAGCCACCTGTTTGCCACCGAGCGAGCGCTGATTTATTTCGCCCGACGGCTGCCAGGTAGTAATGAATTTCGGTCACTGTCACCCAAGGGTAAACGAGAAGCCGTGACGTCAATGCGAAAGCCACGCAGCATCCCACGAGCCGCCCGGGCTCTGGCAGTGATTTTATTAACCTGAACAGGTCTGCGTAAGGCGGCAGTGCCTGGGTGACTCACGCTGGCTCCCAGTGAGGTGAAACCTCAGCCTTTGGGAAAGTGGCTTTTTTCCCCCCCTCCTAGCTGATAAAGCATCTCTTTGTATTTAGGGCTGAGAAGGAGGACACCTGAGCGTCTTCCACACAAGCTCCTTGTTTCTGATGGCAGGCTCTTTGACAAGCAATTCAAGGGGCTCTTGGCCCATCAAGGAATGAGGAGGAGCAGACGTGGCTCTGGCTGGTGAACACGGATGATTTCCTCAAAGGAGCCCGAGCCGAACGTCTCGCACTTGGTGTGTGGTTGAGGAAATGTGTTTCTCTCTAAATGCGCCCAGGCAGACTGGAAATGGGAATTTTAGATGTCTCAAGGCCAATGTTTTCCTGCAGCAATGCTGCTAATGCATCTCAGTCCCACTCTTCCCCCCCACGGGTCTTTCTCCTCTGCTTTGCCGTTTGAATCAATACAGGCGTTTTACCACATTACCAAAAACCAGGATGTTTAAAACAGCTTTCCTTGAATCCCTTTGCTGCGGTAAGGACATGCAGAGAGCTGCTGTTCAGTAACTCTCTCTGGGATTATCCCACGAGCTCTTCTTGTACTGTCAGTATTGTTTTAAAGACACCACAGGTTTATTTTCTGCCTGTGAACCAGCAGAGAGACAAAAAAAAAAAAAGGATAATCTTTCGTACGAGGTATCAGAGAGGTATGTGCAATCACGACTGGTACATAGCCCTCGTATGGAGAATGATGAATCACTGTTTCTTATAATGAAACACCCAGGGGAAGGCAGTGAAATGATTAGACAGCAAGTGTAAGGGCACGGCAGCACCTTTCCTCGCACCGCGGCAGCCACTGGGCTCATGGGCAGAGGAGGTGGCGAGGGCTGAAAGCAGTAAAAAGGGTTCAAGAGGAGACCGGACTATTTACAGCAGAAAGAGCCATCACAGGCTATTAAAAAAAAATATTTAAAAAAAATGCAACTTTTGGCTTAAAGAACACTGGGTATATAACCCATAATTTCTGCTTTTGCTCCTTCCCAGGACACAGGCCACTGGCCACCACTGGGAGCAGGATGCTGGGCTGAGCATCATTTTGTCTATTCCTTTTTCTTATGTCCTTGATGCAAAAAAAAAAAAAAAAACCAACACAAAACCCCTCCACATTAACCCGAGCCCCATTTTAAAGAGTGTGGGGAGAGCAGGGGTCCACATTAACCCAAGTCCCATTTTAAAGAGTGTGGGGAGAGCAGGGGATGATTTGAGAGCCGGCATAATTTGATCAAGAGCAAGGCTCTGCAGGACGGGGTCACCTGGAGGTAGGACACGTTACCGCTGACACAGCGCAGAATGGGAAATGCTCACTCAGCCACTGGCAGAGCCAGAGCCCAGGAGCCCCAGAGGATGGTGCATGGTGCCCACTGCAGCACAACACAACAGCAATAACCTACCCAGCCCTCCCCTGATACTCACCACCCTTCTCGGTGGGTCAGCACCTTCACCGCAACAACCCCCAGCAGCCCAGAGAGAAGAACGGACGTCCTCCAAAGGGAAACTCCTGCCTGTTGGTGTTTTACTTATTAGACTTATTGATGCTGGGATTGCAAATGAGGATGGCAGATGGCCCGTGAGTCATCCGCAACACCAGTAGCCCCCAGCACGGCTCCTGTGTCTCCTCCCACCACAGCACATCCCATACACAAACACCTGAGCTCTCCTGACCTGCAACGTCTCAACCGAGTGGGAGAGCACAGGAGTTGCCTTGTGATGTCCTTGTTAGGAAGAACCAGACAACTATCAGTGTGAATTTTCTAGGAAAAATCAGCGCAGCTCAGCTTACCTTTGTGATTAGATTCCGCATGAAAATAAATCATCAAAGGCTGCTAGAAGAACAAAAAAAAAAGAGCAGCTACGATCAGGTACAACCAAAGAGATCACTGGAGACCTCTGGGAAAGAGTCAGCCTCCAGCAAAGTACTGCTCACCTGGCACATAGGGGGGTCATATAAGACTTTCCCAAATTTTCTGGGAATGAGTGACTGCTGATTAGGTCAGCCCCAGGGGCAGAGGAATTGCAGCAGTTGCTTTCTCTGCCTGCTAAACATCTTCAGGTGAAGTCCCAGGACTCAAGAGCTGACACAATGCAGCTGTAAAGTCAATGTTGTCTCATGCACCTGCCCACCCCAAAGCTCCCCTGCCAGCCCCTGATGGGGAGCTCCTGGCTGCCCTGATTTAGGGTTTTTTAGCTTGAATCAATCTGGAAAAGCTGGTCTGGGGCAGAGAAGAAGCCACACCAGGCTAAGTGCCCGATCTGGAGAGGGAAGGATGCTGTTTTCCACCTTACAAGGGTAGCCACTCGCTAAAGGTTGTGAGGCAGTGATGAAATTTAACTATTTCATTAATATTTTATTCAAATAATAATTTTAAAATATTCCAGCAATAAAGATGGATGCAGCGCTGGCAGAGAACATTTTTCTAAGTGAGGGATCTACACCAGAGCCTTCCTGTTTGGTGTCTCTTGCTGATTGCAAGAAACCCCCTGAAGAACTGAGTGCCTGGAGCGCAGCAGCGCAGAGCAGGGGGCACTGATTGCCCTGTCGTTATCCTCCCAGCACGGGGAAGGGAAAGTCTCCTGGAGCTGTAATATGACCTTTGATTTTAAACATTTTCTGCGCCCAGCCTTTTCCCTCTTACCTCATTGCACCCCAAGACAGCTGGTTTATGTTGCAAACTCAGGGGGGAAATTACCTGGGGAGACTTCATTTTTAAAAATACGCATGAAATATTTCTGCACCTGAAAGATGCAGGAATTACCAGCCTGTGCCTGCATGTGTTACTCCTGTCTCGGTGAGCTTTTATGACAACAGACAGATACCGCGAAGCAAAAAATAGGATAAAACCACCAAACTTTAATCATTCCTTAATCAGGGCTGCCTTTCCCAGCCGCAGCACTCTGCCAGGCTCTCTGCAGCCAATTTGCAGAGGAGGGAGCAGTCAGCACTCGCTGTCCCATCAGCCTGGCAGCTTGGCCATCCCCTGTCCCTGCAGGAGGTGGCTGCTTGGTGCCTGGCCAAGCCGAGTCCCTCAGCCCCGCACCTCCAAACACAGAATCACAGAATCTTCTAGGTTGGAAGGGACCTTAAAGATCATCTTGTCCAACCGTCAACCTAACTGACAAAAATAGACACCCACACAACAAACAAGAAGCATCACCATCACTAAACCAGACCTCCCAGCACTACATCAACCCGTCTTTTGAACACCTCCAGGGATGGGACCTCAACCACCTCCCTGGGCAGCCCATTCCAATGGCTGAGAACCCTTTCAGTAAAAAATTTTTTCCTAATATCCAGCCTGAACCTCCCCTGGCGTAACTTGAGGCCATTTCCTCTCGTCCTGTCGCCTGTGACTTGAGAGAAGAGACCGACCCCCACCTCTCTACACCCTCCTTTCAGGGAGTTGTAGAGAGCAATAA